TCGAACAGACACCTAAAGAGCAGTAAGATCAATGGTTCCCATTTGTACAGCTCCCAGCATGATCGTGACTTTTCCGTGCATTGTTTTCTTTAAGTATGTTTTTATTGATTTCAGAGAGAGGAAGGGAGAGAGAGAAACATCAATGATGAGAGAGAAGAATCGATTGGCTGCCTCCTGCACTCCCCCTACTGAGGATCAAGCCTGCAACCCAGGCATATGTCCTGACCAGAATCGAACCATGACCTCCTGATTCATGGGTCAATGCTCAACCACTGAGCCACATCGGCCGAGCTTCCATGCATTATTGCTTTCAGTCCTCCTATCAGTCAGGGAAGGTGGGGCAGAGGTGGAATGACTTACCCAAATTCACCAGCTAGTCCAAAGGCAGAGCCAGGAAGTCCAACTGTGACTTGTAGTTCAGTGCTCTGTCTGCCCTGGCACTGCCAGCTGCCCTGGGGGCTGGTACCTCCACCCCTCTGGGCTCTCTCCTATAGAGCCCCAGCCTCTGTGGCGTGCCCTAGGCTCTGGCCCTGGCCAAGCTTCTTGGTTCCTATCAGACCAAATTGGACCCTTCAGCCTAGCATTCAAGACCTGCTGTGTCCCCTTTGCCAAGCTCGCTCTTTCTCCCCCGTGCTCTATAACATCCTCCCCATCCTCACACCCCACCTGCCCGTCCACACACACTATAGCACAAGGCTAAAGAGCTGTGCCAGACAAGTCTCCTCACTGAGCCTCAGTCTTCTTGCCTGTAAAATGGGGTGTGAACAGAATCACCTCACAGGGTTGTTGGGATGGTGAACTAGACAATGCAGATGAAGCCCCTGCATGAGGCTTAGCACTTAGCATGGGCCTCATCAATGTGAGCTGCAGGCAGTATTGGTTGTGCTTCTCTGTGCCTCTCCAAGCTCTCCCCACCTCTGTCCCCAGGCTCCCTCTGCCATTGTCGGTAGTCTCCCTCGCCTGACCTCTAGCAACCCTAAGAGCTGTAAGAAAACCCAGGGGTTTTCTGGGGTGTGGGGAGGGCGGAGGAGGAAGTCTGGTGGGTGGAACCCTAAGGGTGTGGGGATGGGGAAGATGGTTCTCACCCCAATTTAACCAGAGCACCTCTGATTGAATGCTTTTTACACATTGGGGTGCTGCCTTATGATTCTGCCTGTAAAAAGGAGTCCTTTGCTAATAGAGTTTGAAAACCGCTGACTTCAACCACCCCTTCCCATCCCAAGAAAGTCCTTGGTTGACCTGAGTCACACTGAGAGTCAGTGACAGGCTTGGACCTGGCCCCTGGTCCCAACCACTTGCAGATCTCAACCCTCTTAGACCTGGGAGTCTCTGTGCCTGGTAGGAGTGAGTTCTAGAGAACAGGATTGGGCCATCTATGGTTCCCCTCAGCCCATAGCACTGATCCCAGGACCCCGTGCACAGTAGGTAGGTGCCAGCCAGGGGAGAGGACAAGTCATAGACAGATCTAGGGTCACCCACTGGCCGTGTATCCTTAGGCAAGTCCCCGTACCTCTCAGCCTCAGCTTTTTTGTGTGCAAAGGGGTTGCTCTAGGTCCCAGAAGGGGCAGAGCCTTGTACACGGTTGGTGCCCTGCAAATGGGAGCCCTCTCCATCCCCACCCTTCTTCTCAATCAATACGTGCTCCATTGATGGATGATGGTGCCAGTGACGAATGATAGGAGATCCTGGAGCCCTGCCCCTTCTGGTTGTACAGATGGGGAAACTGAAACCCAGAGCCAGGAAGGGACTTGCCCAGGTGGGACAGTGAGTGAGTCTGGGCCCGACAGGGACATGTTAGCAGTGTTACCAGAGAGAGAAGTTGGGGCTGGGGCTGGGAAGAAAGCTGCTGAGGGTGGGGTGAAGGGAACAGGTGGGGGAGAAGGACGGAGGAGGGTGGGAACCTGCAGCACCCCATCCTCCCCCGCTCCCTGCAGCCGAGAGGCTGACCGAGAAAGCCTAGACAGCTGTTTGCTCAGAAAAGCATCTTTGTCATCAGGGCTGTGGTGGGGAAAGTCCTCTCTCCCAGTCATGTCTTGGGAATCTGGATGGAGCAGGAAGGCAGCCGGGTGAGTGGCTTGTCCTCTCAGAACCAGACTTTCTCCACTGCTTCTCCACGCATAGAAACACCGACTAAGCTTTGCTTACAGCCTCCTAGAACCAACTTGCCCATCCCCTCACCCCTTAGGAAGCCTTCCATGTGTCTCCACTTTAAAAAGTGGGCCTGACCTCCATTGCACACATACCTGCGGGAGAAGTGGGCCTCTGTGCCCTGTGGAAGTCCCTCCTGAGATCTAACTCCTATCCCTCTAGCTGCAACCACAGTCTTTCCTCCGCCTGCCTGTGGCGGGTTAATCTGGAGATGGAGTTGGGAAAGGTGATGAGAGACCCACTCCCACAGTGAGGGTTCCTCACAAGGAGAGGAAGGGACTTTGCAGTCCCCCAAACGGGAAGGGAGGTGTGGGGTCCAGAGGCGATGCTGAGCTTGAGGATCAGATTTCCCACAACAGGCCCAAGTTTAGGGCAACCTGGGTTCAACTGCCATTTCTGCCACCTGGCCCCTGGTCCCTCAAAAAGACCCTGAGACACCCCCAGATTCCCTTGCAACTGCTTTCCTTTCCACCATTCAGGCCCCAGACCCTAGTCCAGCCGTGGGCAAACTATGGCCCGCGGGCCGGATCCGGCCCGTTTGAAAAGAATAAAACTAAAAAAAAAAAAAAGACCGTACCCGTACCCTTTTATGTAATGATGTTTACTTTGAATTTATATTAGTTCACACAAACCCTCCATCCATGCTTTTGTTCCGGCCCTCCAGTCCAGTTTAAGAACCCATTGTGGCCCTCGAGTCAAAAAGTTTGCCCACCCCTGCCCTAGTCCCACCGCCATGAATCCTGCCTGATGAGGCCCAGGCTCTGGGCGAGCAGTGCCATACATTCAGGGGATGCTAGCTTCAGCTCATAGGGAGAGGATGGGTAACCCAGCGAGGCACTGCATCCACAGCTGGGCCCTGGGGTGCAGAAACCGCCCCAGTTACCAATAAAGACGGGGCATAACCTGCCCAAAGGCCTCGGACTCTGGCCCTGGGCGCACCTGGAGCCAGAAGTAGCGGGAGAGATTCAGGTCAGACCCCAGAAGGCACCCCCTGCTATGCAGAGGGAAAGGGTGAAGGGGTGTGCACAGGTTGCCAAGCCCAGCTTGGGGACCCCCTAGGTCCCTGAGGCCCCCTCTCTGAGCGCTGACAGCTCTGCTGGCCTCCCTCCCCCGCTGGCGCTCAGCAGATCAATGCCGCCTTTGCTGACAGCTGAGAATCGAGCTTGCCTTCCCGCCCCCTCTCCTGCCCCTCCCGCTCGGCTGTTCTGTCCCCCGAGATCCTCCGGAGGAACGGGAAGAGTTTGCTGCGGAAGAGCTTCACCCTGGGGCAGGGCCTGCGGAGGGAGCGGCTGGTGTGGCCCAAGCTTTCCGCAGGGGAAAGAGGGAAGGAGGGTGAGGAAACCCAAATCACCGCTCTGTGCTGGGCTAAGAGAACGAGAGGGCCGCCCCCTGTTACCAGCTAGAGAGAGGAGGCCAGGCACCAAGAACTTTCCGCTGGAGGGGGAGTGCCTGGTGGGAAGTCTCCCGTTTCTGGGTGGGTTCCGGGGGCCTCTGGGAGGTTGTCCAGCTGCAGGCTGGCTCAGAGTTCACCTGCTAGCACCCATGTGCCCTGACCTGTAGTCAAGTCCACGGAGCAGTTCCGACTGAACGTGCATCAGAGGAGACTCTGGGGGGCTGAGTGGCCTACCTGGGGGCTCTTCCCCATCTTCA